AATCGAATCGATTACACCCAGGAGGCCCTATTATATCGATATTGTTACCCTCGAAACTCCAACATTATTATTAGTTGGGAGGCGAGTCTCTCTCCTTCTCTCTCCTTCTCAAACAACAATACGAAGCGACAATTTCATTCGCCATTCAATACACTAAGCTATATAATTGCACAATGCGAAAATGAGGGCATCGTGACGTCATAATAATTAAAATCTAGGACCTTCGCGTTACGTCAATAATCTCATGTACGCCGATAATCACTTACTATTTAAAGATTATTCTATGTTATTAGTTAAATGCTTTTCGTTTTGGATACTAGAGACATAAAAGATGCCAATTATTTCAATAAAGGACGATTATAAAAATCTTAATTTTCAATTTTTAACGTGCAAGTTTACAGTTTATTTTATGGTTGCAAATATACAGCTATAATAAAAAAAAATATATAACATTTAAGACATATTGTCGCATTCTATATAAAACATACATATGATAAACATTTATTAATTAAATATAAAAAATCGAATAAAAAGAAATTGCAAATAAAAAATTGTAATTCTAAATAAATATCTAATAAAAAAAGAGAATCGCCGTTAGCGTTGTTCTGGCTTTATTTATATCAATCCATACGCGCATTTTGATTTTCGGATTCAATGTTGGGGGAATGTATCGAAAATGTCTGTGCCGACGTGATTGCGAAAGGATGGTGGTGTATTTTTCACGTTATGGGCGACAGGTGGACATGATCGATGGTCAGATTCGCATCCTTTGTGTAAATTGCGCCAGTGTATAAACTAGCGATGGGATCAAACGTTAGTCAAATCATGAATTTTTTTCTATGCAAATTACAGCCGCAAGAACAGAATTAATTATTTTGAATCAGAAAGAGCGAACGAGAGATAGAGAGAATCTATATATTTTAATCTAAAAAAATTTATAATTGTTCCTCTTTAAGATTTCTGTAGTAATTAAATGCAATATAAATTGATAAAGAATAGTAATCATCTTCCGTAGAAACTGCTTTTTTAATTTACATAAACTTTAATAAATATTATTATTTCACTATAAAAATATATGATAATAAATGATGCAAGTTTATATACTTTTTAGTTGTTCGGTAATTTTTTTTGAAGAAAAAGGTAATCTCAATTTTACATTTGCTGCAGTGTCTACACAGTCTGTAAAATTAAAACGAATGGAGCGACTAAACAAGAAAGTTTCATATTAGCCAAAGACAGACAGAGAATATTTCTTACAGTGGTTACAACTCTCGTTTAAGAACGACCAAATAATAAGTATAATATGCAGCGTGTAACAGTCTCCCGAGGAGAATTTAATTACTCCCACTGGTTTTAAATGTAGAAATGCACACTGAGGTCCACCAAAGAATATTTCCATTATGTTAAAATTTCTCTTTGAACATTTCTTCCTTAATTATATTTTGTCGCAGGAGACTTAATATGAAAGACTGAATATATAAATAATATACAGGTATATACATATATGTATATAATTATTAACTTTTTAAAAGAAATTAAAAGTTATTTAAAAATTTTTATAATAAATATATTACATGCAAGCTTAAAAATTTATCAAATTCCAAAATTATTTTTCCATTTTACGTTAACATTTCTTTTGACATTTAATTATATTATTATACATTTAATTATTTTAATTATATTTTGTACTTTAACACGTCATAAATAACGAATAATTAGTACATAATTAATCGTTAACTATTTCAAGGAAATTAAAAAAAAAGTCAGATTGTTCAAATGCATTTACCGAATTTAACATATTTTTCTCTTACAAAAGAATTTAAACCTGAATATTTGGTTAAATTCATAATAAATTCTATAGGCAATAAACGTCAGTCTTTAGCTCGACTCGTATACTAAATTTCCCAAGATTACGTTTTTCTACGAGAGATGCACTAAATATTATCATTGTTAGAATTACGAGGGATAAAGCAAATTTCAATCGATTTAAGAATCAATGATCGCTCGGGAAGAGAGAACCGACGAAGATGAGGAACTATCGTAAGGGTGCAGACTTCAGCAGCGATTCTTGTCACTTCCGAACGCGCGCCGACTTTCTTAGTCGCTCCCCTCTTTAGGCAAGGCAGCAGATGTTCTCTACGACATGCTCTCGCGCCAGAGAACTTCCCTCCTCCGACGAAAATGCGCTTAACTAGCCGTCACCGCCCGATGCCACTCGCCATTTCGGCCTCCCTCGAGCAACCAGCGAACCATCCACCTTCGCCGCCTCCAGCAGACCCTAAACAAATCTTCTACCGTCGAGAGAACAACCCTTCCGCCTTTCCGACTAAGACTTGCAAACCATTTCCGACTAAGCCGCGCTTTTCTTTCAACAACCTTTCGTCGTTGCAAAGAGAGGAACGAGGTGAAAGACTGCGTAATTAACTATCAAGATATTTAACTCCCTTGTCTTAACTCTTCCGCTTCTCAGTATATCATCGATAATGGTGAACGTAATTTTATTATTTGCTTGTGTTAATAACTTTAAAATGATTTAGCAATGCAAAACAAGTTGGGGGACCGCCATCAATGCGTGCGATATACGATATTAAGGGGATCCTAAACTGTTTCATTCTGTTTTATCGACAAAATGTGAGATTAGATTCAGCTATAAATCTATTTATCGACTATATGGATTGTTTTTACCCGAAATTAGAACGCTTCGCCCTTTGTTAATATTAATAAAGAACGAAGCGTTCTAATTTTGGGTGAAAAACAATCCGTATAGCCAATAAATAGATTTATAGCTGAATCTAACCACGCATTTTGTCGATAAAACAGGAAATCACAGACTTCTCAAGCACGTTTAGGATCACCTTAACGTTATTACAATAAAGTTTAACAGATTCAATCAGTTTATTAATTCCATCGCAAATATTTTAGTTCACGGGCGTGTTCTGAATTAAGTCAAGGAAAATTATGTTGAAACTCAGAGCTAAACAGAGCCCTTGAAGAATGAAAGCGTGAGATATTAACGTGAAAGGAATTCTCTGGCACGTAGATAATGTAATCGTATCTCTTGCAATGAGAAGAGAGTATTATCTTTATAACTTTACATCTCAGTGTAACAGGAATACTATGCTTTTTACGAAAGATGTATTAGAATTGTTTCGTATCTCTCTCTCTGCAAGGATCTCCATGTGTATCCCGTCGTAGTTTCAAGGGGAGTCATTGCTTCTTTAATTAAGATTATTAAGGTAGTTTAACTCTCGTGAACGCGAAAAGGTAACTCTATATCACCGCTCTCGAGAGTCGCCGTAAAATCAATTGTATTGTCAGCTAAATAGAATCGCTGCTAGAATGGCAAAATGCAAAGCTATTCCAGCAGAATATATCACTAAAACAACTATATGGTAGCTCGATATCGCAGGCATGCGATGTCAACGAAATTTAGTGAACGTGCCAAGAAAAAACCGTCTACGCGATAGCATTTGCATGAACATTCTGTGCCAAATGTATGCATCATTCGAAAATATATCAATACTTATTTGAATAAATAATAGTGAATGTGATCTCTGAAAATTCTACATTATATGAGGAAATACTAAATTATTTAATACATAAAAATAAATATGTATAAATATAAAAAATACATATTCCTTAAAGTGTTAAAATAATTAATGATAATATTGCGATATATATTAATTGTAAGCAAAAAAAGTAAATGTATTGATATTTTTTGCTTTAAGATAATCAGTGTCAGCCAATGAAATATTATTGGCCGAGAAAATAATTTTCGGTAATTGTTAGCATGGTCTACGATGAAGAATCTCACAAATGGAATTCTTGCGAGGGTGCCGGGATTGTAGGGAAAATTTACAAAATGCGCTTGGCGATTTCTCACGAGCAGGCCGCGAACCGCGCGCGAATGGAACGAGCTTGCGGGGACGAAGTGCTTTCGCACGTGTTACATCTGTTAGTTCCGACTTGCAATGCCGACTTGCGTCGCGTGACGAGAATTTCGCCGGGAGCAAGGAAATGCGCTTTTAACTAACTGTCACCGCCCGATGTTATGAGCCACTCCACGAGCCAAACCCGCCCTCGTAGTCCGCGAACAAATGTCCGCCTCATAGCCGACCTATCCAGGAACTTACAATTAGTTGAGTCCTCGAATAACCTGCCGCGAGACGTAGTTATCATATTTCTGTACGCAGCACATCAGCTTTCAAAAGTGGTTTACAGTCATTTAACTATGCATATACGGTAGATGTTTAGCACAAAATTTTTGATAAAGTAATTAATTATTTCTTTATATTCTGGCATATTTTTAATTAATGATTAAAATTTATCAGGATAAAAATCCCCCAAATTTAATAAGTTACAATCCATTAATCTGCTGTAATCTGTTTGAATATTTTAATTGTAATCCTCGCGATATATAATGGTAGGTACGATTTAAAAATTATAAATCCTAAAGTATTTTGCTATCACAGTAGTTTTTATTTTCTCTTTGCGAAACTGAATTCGTGGCAAACGTGGTCCGAAGATTTATTCGTTAAATCGGAAATGCTGGACGGCTATTAATTTCCTGTAATCGCACAAAAAGAGACAAGTGACGCGCGAACTCCCGGGCAAAAATGATTTACAGCTCGCGTCATTAGGCGCGGGAAACAGGCTCCCGGCTGCCAGTCGCACCCTAGTGCCACACATTCGGCGTCCACATTCATTCCCCCGCATTCTCTGACCCTTCTAAACAAATGCGCTCTCGCCCGTCGTGAGCAACCCTTCCCGAGAGCTTAATCAAGTTTGCTCCTAACTGAAAGTTACGAGCGCGCCCTCCAAACGTTCAGAATCGAGAAGTGCGCTTTCACGCTTTGCTATTGTAACTCGTCGCTCGTGAAAATACTTTTCATACATTTCATACGTTTAGCTAGAATATGCACAAATAAAGCCAGTTCGAGGCGGCTTAAATTCGAGATCATGCAAAGCGATAAAAATTTTTGAGAGTTTGTTTCGCTTACCCTATCGGCTGTCTCAGGCATCCTCGATTTTCGCATTCCTCGCTGAAAAAGAAAAGAAACATTTCGTTATTAATAAATTTCATAGCTTTGTATGCATTGTTTATCTAAATGTCGTTCATAACTTAAACATGTGCGCAATTTTTGCAATTTCTTCTTAATTCTTTCTCCATAAATCTAGGTTGAAATTCACACGTAAAATTTTAATTAAAACTTTCAATTTCTTCTTCTACTACCTTTTTAAGAAAAATATTTGATTTTATAAGTACTCTGTAATTAATGTAAGATAATATAAAAAGAAATAAATTCAATTTTTTAATTAATTTTTTAATTATATTATTATTATTATAATTTAGAAGAAATTTATTTATGTAAATAAAAAATAATTTTATTTTTTACAAGATAACAGTTTATGTTTTAAAAGTAGAAAGAATAAGTTATTAATATTTATAAAATAAAAATAAGTATATTAATTAAATATAATCTCTGCTCAAATGAGGCATATAAAACATCTTACATATAACAGTTCGGACTACATCGGTAAGATGTTTAAAGATATCAGAGACATTCTTTTTACACAAATAAAAACCCCTTTCGTAACTAGTAAAGTTTCAATTCTCCTGATAGAATTTTTTGGTTCAATTCTCTTCGTCTATAAATTGAAACATTGCTTCGCAAGTAATTACAGTAAGGTTGTTTAAATCGATATAAACTGTAAACTTAGCTGGTACAAAAATAATTAAATCCTCGTCAAAAATCAATAGAGAGACGGAGAGAAGAAAGCAAGAGAGAGAAAGAAAAAAAGAGAGTCGCAAATAACAAATATATTATGCATAAGTAATTAAGTTTTCGAAATTGTATTGCACTGTGAAATGCATATTTATAGAAAGAAGAGATTAAAAAAGTTGAAATATTAAAACATAAAAAGAGATTAAAGCATTTATTTTACAAGATACTAAAAGAATGGTATTATATAATAAATATTGGTGGATAATAAATATTTCTAACGAATTTGGTACGCGTATATATCATTCATGTGAATTAGTCGAACGGTCGGATTTTAGTTGACTTTAGTTGGTTACTACGAGACTTTCTAAATATCGCAGTCTTTAATCCGCAAATGTGTTGTAATTAAAGTGAGGCTGGGTTAAAGTCCTTGTAATAGGCTAGGCGTGCAGGCCCACTCCAATTTCGGTTGCTAGGAAACTAATCTTTCGAACACTTCGTGGATTCCGCGCATTTCGATTTGCCGAAATTACTTTGATCTAACAAATGTCAGTGAAACTCTGCGACAAAATACGATTTACGCTAAATATAGAGATTATTGATGAACTCTATCGGTGAACGATGGATTTAAAATTCTCAGCCAATAATAGTAGTCATATTCACAATTTTCGCGACATAATATATATATTTTCCCTTGTCATACATAAAAATATAAGATCAATTTTTGTCTTAATGCTATTAAAAAAGAGATGGAGAATATTTTTAAACGTTTTCAATAAAAATGGAATTTACGAGAATTAATTAAATTTTACAAATATTTGATTTAATATAAATTTGAATATAAAATGACTGCCAAAGTATATATAAATAAGAGCGTAAGGTATAACGATAAAAATATAAAAAGCTTGATGAAAATTATTGTCACGCGTGTACATTTCTCGAGATCATTAAACTCAATAATTAACATTAAATTCTAGCCTTGTATTCTTTTACCTCTGAATATTTTTAAGGCGTGAAACGTATCGGTCGCGCCAGCTTAATTCTTTGATTTTAGATATCATCGTCTGATGCTTAAAATCACTCGAGATTCTCGACTCGAGACGACTTAAATCGAGATTATGTAAAGCGAAAGAATTTTCAACAGCTCGCTTCACTTACTCACATGATTATTAATGAATTTCATAGTTTTGCACGCATTATCCTATCTAAATGTTATGAATACATCTATGAAAAAGATCGATCCTCTCGGATCAGTTTGTGAATCCACATATCATCCTACTCTACTGTCGGATTTACCGTGATATACTGAAGAGGAATCATCCGGGGAAAATAAGAGAGATCGAAGGAAAGTACATCGGCCTCTTTCTATCGGCGGCTCGCACGTGCCAGAAAAGAGAAGAAAAAAGCAGGAAAATAAAATAAAACAAAACAAGAAATGCATCACATCGCGAATATCGGTATATGTACCCCGCGCTGAATTTCCCTTGAGAAAATCACCTTATCCCCCAACCTCGATCCTTGTTCCCGCAGACAGGAATGAAATATCTATTTGCATACGCGAGCCCGGTCTCGCGGCGGTCTCTGAACTCTCCGACAAGGTAAATAACGATCTGAAATTCTCGCGGCACCTTCGATGGCGGCAGCGGTTGCGAATCGCCGAGAGAAGCGCGTTTCTTCGATAAATGAGTTATTCGCCATTTAGTATTCGTCGAACAGCGGCCCGGAGCGGAAAGAGAGCAACGCGCGCATTTGCCGTTTCGCAACTTTGACGACAGGGGAAGAAATTATTTCGCATACGGAAATGTTCACAGCGAAGATGTATTAAGAGCGTGCAGGCAGGAGAAAAATGAAAAATTTTAATAAATTGTCAAGATAAAGGCATGACATTAAGAAAGCTGTACGTCAGAGATTAAGATAAAATCATTTCTCTGATGATCTTATTAAATTGTTCAGAGAAACAGGCTTGCCTTCCTCTAAACTCCTATCTCGATTTCCGCGAGACAAACGCAGAACATAATGGGACCTGATTATATAATTTTTTTCCCCTTTAGCTTTACGTTACATCGGGACGTAATCCGATAAATGTATAATTTCGCAGCGCCGTTGTGTGTGCAAAGAGATCAAAGCCAGAGCTGCTTTTATGTCGAGAGGCTGTTGGCTCGAAGCTAAGGAAAGAAATTAAACGCAAACACGAATTGTACAACGAATCGGCAAAGTAATGTCGAAATGTATTGACTTACGTCTATGCGGAGTACTGCAAAGAGACGTATATCAGTTACAGAACTATGCTGTCGGGGCAATTTCGAGCGAACCTCTTCTGCCGCAAGAAAGTCATAACTCCATCCCCCATACTTCAAGTCAGAATCCACATGTCTCGTATATTCGTTCTCGCGTAGAACATTTTAATCGTTTTTTTTTATATAGATTGTTTTAGATTGATTTTACATTTTCCTTAACAAAAAACTTTGTACTGTACTTCTGATCTATTATATATAACATCATAATATCCATTTTAAGTAATTTTATAAAATTACTTAAAATAGATATTGTGATGTTATATATAAAGCCAATTATATTTTTTTAATAATTCAATATTGGTAATATTATGTTATATATTTTCGAGTGATGACACGATGGGCAAAATGTTTTCGATTACATGAAATAGAGGAAACGATGGAGAAAAATGATGTATAATACAACACGATAGAATTTATTTTGTAGAGAATTAATCCCAACGCGTATTATACGTAATGAATACAGATGTTATAAAGCCATAATGGATTAGAGCACTGTTGCGCATCAATATGCTATAGAAATCCGGTTTGCTCTATGCGCCAGAATTGGGAATCTATTGTGATGCGTTTCGCTTCGACTGCAATTCGGTAACTTCATTAATTAAACAATGGCGCGTTCAGCGTGACGTCTTAACGAGGAATAGCGACGACTGTCACAGTTCCTCGACCGACCTGAATAGCAGACTCTTAGCTTGAGAATAATAGTGATCCATAAGTCCTACGTGTTACGCATTTAAAGGGAACCGACCTTTGCAATTAAATATAGATATATGGATTAGTAACGTTATGCAATGTAATATTTAAGTCTCAAAATGTCATATCTATTTCTCTTCTCACATGTCCCGACAATTAAGTCCATTATATATATATAAATCAATGAATTCCCGAATTACGTCACTATAAATAAATGGTGTACTGTTAAAGACATGAGTGTATTGATTTATAATATTAACTTGACAAGAGAAGAATCAGCATTAATTAAAAGAAATATTTTACTGTAAAAATTCGATTTAATTGCAAATCTTCATAAATTCGTAAATACAAATCTTCATAAATTCGTAAATGCATGAATAAATAGAAAGTAAGCGCATTTTAAACTGATAAGCTTTATATAAACAAAAAATGACTTTACGTAGCAACATTAATCTCTTGCCAGTTCATCATACTGTTAGTACCGTGAAAGATAATATCGCAAGACGAATATATTGCGATAATATACTGAAGTGGAGTGCAGCAAGTAAAGTGCCACGCGTGTCTATATATGTACGCTTGTGCTAGTTAAAGGGTTGACTAACGTGATCCAGCGCGTTAGTTATGATAAATGGCCAGACAGTCGTGGCGAAACTTCGGCTTATAAATCTATCTTACTGTCAACCTTGCACGGCCTACGACCGCTGACCGTTCCCGAGGCAATGGATCGTATAACTTATTTGCCAAAATTTCTCCAATTTGGAATTGCGATGAGCATATCGCGATTGTAAGCACGCGATCTAAAATTTAATGATATAAATAAATCTGTCATTATCACGATTTCCATCAAACAGAGTGTCCAGCGAACTAGCAATGAAAAAAATTCCCTGATTTTTTCAGATTTTCCAAGACCAATTCATTTTTTCCCTGATTTTTTAGTATTATTTTTTCCAAATATATAATTTGCATATATATGATAAATCAATTGAATGTTAAATCATGAAATCCTTGAGAGATTTTTGTCAACAATGAGAAGGTTCGGAAGTTAAAAAAAAAAACAAAAATTTAAATCAATTATACACAATCTGCATTATGTACGATAATCGAAACAAACATGTCACTATAAACTATAATAATCACCTTTTTATTTATATTATATCAAATTTTTTAGTTTTGTCTCTATTAAACATTAAAATAAAATAACACGACAATATAAATATAAATTAACGAACACGTTGAAATTAATTGATTTTTAACAATATGGAAAATTAGCGTGCTGAGTCAAGGAAAGTTTATATTCATTTAATAAAAAAATTTCAAATTATTGAGACAAAT